TTCTTCAAAAAATTCACATTAACGAACCTCGTGTGCCAAATACTATTATTTTGTTTCATTCTATTAGTAACGAAAGTAAATTCTAAAAGAAGTTTCAAATAACAACAAACACAACTGCATTGCTTAGTAGCAAATGATCGTGGTAGCGCAATCTGGTCATGCTGCGTCTTACAATTGTTGATTATTACCTAGTAATGATTATAATAATGTACAAAAAATAAATTCATTGAATTGTTATGAAATGAAAATAAATTTCAACTTGTTCCATCGTAAGCGAATGATTCCCATCGCATTTTCAACACTTGATGCTGTAGAAATGAATATATGCCATGTTTTGACCTGAAATGGTGTTCTTCGACCTAACAAGTCAAATCGATAGTTAACCAATGAAAACGATGGATGATGCCAACGTGTTCAAATTACCATAGCTCATTTAAATATGTTAATGTATAGAATGCAGCACGGAAGAGATTTGCCAATGCTGTTGTACGATCTTTTGGCTTGGATTTTGATGGGAAAGCGGCCTATCCTATGGGATGGGTTTCTGTCCTGCGTCTGTCTGTCTGTCTGTCTGTCTGTCTGTGCACGACTTCTCCACAAAAACCGCCAAACCATTTGACTCGATCTTTGGTGTGTCGATGCCTTGATGAGTGTAGATGGTAATTTGTTCATGAGAAGTCGATCTGCCAAAAATTATGCAAATTAGCCCCCAAAAACTCTGAAAAAAATTGTTTATGCTACTATGACACTAAGTGGTCGACAGTGCTGATATTAATAGTGCATGTGCCTTGGGTTGTCCTCTATCAGTTTTGTTAATTTGGTAAGGAAATTTTCAATTTTGGTAAAAAATTCTATTTTCGACTTCTTCTTCAAAACCGGTAGCCTGAATGCTTTGATACTTGGTGTGTATATACCTTGTCTTGACATCTATAAGATTTGTTCATCCCATGGCCATATCTTTAATTCTCTAATTTTGGCAAATATTTTTTTCATTTTTGGTTAAAAATGGAATTTCAACTAACCACTATTTCCAATGCTTTGGTGTTAGGCATACATGTGTTTATTATTCCATTAACAACTTTGTGTGGTTGTTTGGCGATATATTATTTAAATGTGTATAGACATGATTGATTTGGGTGGAAAATTATGCAAATTGCCTAATTTACATACCAATATTTAGGCGATATCTTGAGAACCATTTAATGTTTTAATAACACTTGGTGCATAGATGTGTTGGGGCAGTTTTTAGATATATTTAGTTTTTGGTGGAAATTTAATTTGCACATCAGCTAGTGAAATTCAAGCTATTTGGGTGCTATTTCAAGAACCATTCAACGTATTTCAACAAAACTTGATATATACATGTATTACGAATTCAGATAATTGCAAATATCATGTTATGTTATTCTCTCAACTCACTGGATTTTTTTTAAGCTCTCTTTGATTCTAATTTTATTGAATATTTCCGTTATTTTTGTGAAAAAATTCCCCTTTTAGCATTGTTTTATTGTCTCACTGCCTTTTGGGGTATTTGTCATATGCATGTACAGCACTAATCTTTTGTACAATAGCCGTTGAGCAACAGGCCATTAGCCTATTTTTAAAAAACAAAATTAGTTGTTTTCAAAAGATAAACTGAGCATTTGAAGAATAATTTAACATTGTTTACAGCAGTAACAGCTCATTGTCGAAACGAAGCTAACCCATTCACGCTAGTCGCTATAAACATCAATACTCTTGAATAGGCGTCAATGACTACGGCAAAACTTTTAGGCATCACAGGAATCTTGCCAGCCCAACGTGGAATTAAGACATTATGTTTCACAATTTAGAAGAGTTTGAATTTAAAGATTAAATATATATGAAATGCGAATGCTGCAGACTAAAAAACAAATACATTGTTGTTGCAATATTAATGTCTATTGTAAAAAGTTAAATAAAACTCATCTGAAACGTTTCAGCCAGGAGTATGTATAATAAAACTTCTGAACTTTCAAAGTTACGACGTGACATAACTAACTTCTCAATGTTATACACAGATTGTACCAATAATTCCTCTTACTCGGTCATGATGCCAAGCAAAAAATGTTACTTTGTTTTTTTGATATGAAATAAAAGTAAAATTTGAATTAGTTTTATCGGGAGTGGATATTTTTGATCACTTGATCGCTTTGGTAAAAAACACAGCCCTCCATGTTTGTGACGCATTACATGTAGTTGACCGGTATGTGTCTTTTGACCCGATGGGTCAATAATTCCATTAACCAATCAGAATGCCACAGGAGAATCCGAAGTTTTCTGAATGGTAGTGATAATAAAAATTACGCTGCGGAAGTAAAGCGATGTCGTAGCACGATGTGTTGACATCGATTTCAGTTGAAAACTGCGTGATGGTCATCGAAATAGGTGATTAGCAATTTTTTGCTCCGCTGTCGACTTTGTCGAGCAGAGCTTATCATACGAGTGATTGTCCGTCGTCCGTGTCAATGTTTTACTTTTTCGACTTCTTGAAAACTACCAGCCTGAATGCTTTGATACTTGGTGTGTATGTACCTTGGGTAGACCTCTCTCAGATTTGTTCATTTCATGATCATATCTTCAATTCTCTAATTTTGGTGAATATTTTTGTCATTTTTGGTAAAAAGTGATATTTTCAACTTCTTGTTAAAAACCGCAAGTCCAATTGCTTTAATATTACATATATAGGTACTACATGTGGACCTCTCTCAGATTTGTTCATTTTGTGATGATATCTTCAATTCTCTAATTTTGATGAATATTTTTGTAAAAAGTTAGTTTTTGACTCACATGTGCGAAGCACAAAATGGGAGTCTTTGCAGTTAGTGTGTCTGTATATGTGTGTGTGTGTGTGTGTATGTGTGTGTGTCTCCGACTGTTCCACTGCTATCTCAAGAACCATACATCAGTTTTTGATGAAACTTGGTGCATAGATGCTCTGGGCCAATGCGCAGATTTGATTAGGTTTTGGTAAAAATCCATGCTTGTTAATTACCTAATTTGCATGATAATTAGGTAATTTTTAGATGTTCTATGACTGTTCCACTGATATCTAAAGAACCACTCATTGGATTTTGATGAAACTTGGTACATAGATGCTCCGGGCCAATGCGCAGATTTGATTAGATTTTGGTAAAAATCCATGCATGTTA